AAGTTACACAGGGAAACCTTTTCTCAAAACAAAAATCAAAAAAGAATGACCCTCATAGACTAATTAAATTAAATGATTAGTCATCCTGGAGTGGCTCTATTTGAAAGAATTAGAAGGATTAGGAGGTATGACCTTGTTAAAGGAAAAATTGGCCCACAGCAAGCTGCTATACTCCCTCCTTCTCTCCCTCCCACCTTTCCTCTTACCCTCCCTTCCTCTGCTTGTGGAGCAGGCTGTAGCTCTCAGGTGCTTCTCCAGGACCACACCTTCCTACCTCCACGCCCTCTACCATGATGGACTTAGCCTGGGAACAGTAAGCAAGGCCACAATTAAGTGCTTTCTTTTATAAGAGTTGTGTTGGTCATGGTTTCTCTTCACAGCAATAGAATCGTGAGGGCTTCATACTTCTCTGTGCTTCAAAACTGAGATGGCAGGGGAAATAAATGCTTGCAGTAAAGTATTAGATGTGAACATTTTAAAAATTACATTTATATTTATTTCGTATTCATGGGGATGAGGGGGCCACGTGAATCTATCTATCACAGCGCACCTGTTGAGATCAAAGGACAGTTTACAGGAATTGGTCCTGGGGTTCAAACTCATTACCAGGCTTAGGGGCAAGCACCTTTACTTACTGGGCCATTTCCCCATCCCAGGAATAAATTTTTAAGGGCAGCAATACTTGTCTAACTGGCTCCCTAAGAGATGACAGGATGCTTAGGAGTGATAAAAAATAAGAACAGCAGAAGAGGTAGGGTTAGCCCAGAATATAAATTAAAAGCTAAGATGCCTGGGTCTGAATGTCTGTTACCCTGCTTGGGAAAAGTCAATTTCCATTTTCTAGACAGCAGCCTCCTTTCCTAGGGCCTGCAAATATAATTTTCTATAATCCTCTTCCCTGTGATACTAGTTGTTAAAACTTGACCACACACTGGAAATAAAATGAAAACTTTAAATACTATTGATGCCTGGATTCCAAAACCAAATACTCAGAATTATCTGGTCTAGCCTCAATAGCTGGGACCAAGTGTTCAAATGCAAGAATCTGTGGGGGATACGACACTTTCAAGCTAAAAGCAGCCACCAATAGGTTTATGGACATCTTTGTGTTAATTTTATTATTGCTGTGACAAAAATAACAGTAAGAACTGAAGATAAGAAACATTTTCACTGGGAGCTGGAGAGATGGCTCAGTGGTTAAGAGCATTGCCTGCTCTTCCAAAGGTCCTGAGTTCAATTCCCGGCAACCACATGGTGGCTCACAACCATCTGGAATGAGATCTGGTGCCCTCTTCTGGCCTGCAGACATACATACAGACAGAATATTGTATACATAATAAATAAATAAATATTTTAAAAAAAAGAAACATTTTCACTCAGTTTCAGAGATTTCAGTCCATCAAAGCAAAGAGGGCACAGTAGCACGCATACACAGCTTTGTCTATGGTAATGGGAGTATGAGGTGAAGCTACTAGATCAGGGAGCAGAGAATACAGACCAGCACCTGGAGAGAGTGCAATCTTCTCTCTCTCTCTCTCTTTTTTTTTTTTTTTTTTTTGGTTTTTCGAGACAGGGTTTCTCTGTGGTTTTGGAGCCTGTCCTGGAACTAGCTCTTGTAGACCAGGCTGGTCTCGAGAGTGTAATCTTCAAAGGCTGCCTCTAGTGCCCTACTTCACTAGTCATGTTCAACCTCCAAATGGCTCCACAGCCTTCACAGTGCCACTAGCCAGAGAACAAATGGTCAAAACACTCCTGAAAGGGGCAATTCGGAGTCAAATCAAAACTTAGTATGTAACATTATATGTCAGTGACTATGCTATGTCCCTTGCATATATAATCTCATTTAATCATTACAGGTCTATAAGTGTCATTATTCCATTTACAGGTTCAAAACAGAAGAGAACCAATTACTTGCAAGATCAAGTACTAATGTACTGAATCTGGTGAACAATTCAAAACAGCAAACTGACTACAAAGGCTAGAGAACACCATGAAATGAGTGTTATCAAGTCAGATTAACTACCAAGAAGTTCTTTCTTTCCATGCCCCTCTGTCCATGACTGAGAATCAACCTAAGACCTCAGGCAGGGCAGGCGAGAGCTCTACTGCTAGATTACATTCCTATCTAGAGAAAACACCTACTCAGCCACACTTGCCCTATGGGAATTTCAGGGTCATATTTTAAGATTTAAAAAAAAAAAATGGGCCGGGCTATGGTGGCGCATGCCTTTAATCCCAGCACTTGGGAGGCAGAGGCAGGTGGATCTCTGTGAGTTCGAGACCAGCTTGGTCTACAGAGCTAGTTCCAGGATAGGCTTCAAAGCCACGGAGAAACCCTGTCTCGAAAAAAAAAAAATAATAAAAAAAATATATATATAAAAAAATGGAAATCTTTCTTTGTATATAATCTCTTGGTAGTTCAGTGTCAAGGTGCTTAAAACAATATTATGTGGTTCAAACCGAATAAGTCTAAAAGTTTGCTTCTCTGATCCATAAGACACTGGAAATTTGGAAGGAAGAGCTCTGAACTTCAGGTACATAATTAGGGAGTCCTTAGGCAGAAATGATAGTAACACACCAAGAATAGTGTGTGCTGGGATAATAACCAGTGAGGTGGGTGGTGCAGGGATCCCAGGCACAAACAACAAAAGCATTTAGGAGGCTGAGGGAGGAAGATAAAAAGTACGGGGCCATCCTGAGTTACATGGTGAGAGGCTAAGAAAAGCAGAAATAATACTTGACATGATTAGTTTAAAACCATCTGAAAAGCCAGGCAGTGGTGGGGTACACCTTTAACACCAGCACTTAAGGCAGAGGCGGAACTTTTATGAGTTCAAAGCCACCATGGTCTGCAGAGCAAGTTTCAGAACAGTCAAGGCTACACAGTGAAATCCTGCCTAGAAAAACAAACAAACAAACAACAACAACAACAAAAAACCCAGAAAATGTAAAAATGTATTAACAACTAAAGACTTAGTAGATTTCTAGATGTATTAGAAATGAATAGACATGTCAAGCTGTTTGGTTACATTTAAAATCCAAGTATTTGAAATTTTATACACCCAAAATATGATGCCAACTTTAAATTTGTGAATGCTTATTTCTATGATTGAAAAGTAGATTTTGTTTGTTTTTGTTTTTCAAGACAGGGTTTCTCTGTGTAGCTTTGACAGTCCTGGAACTCACTCTGACCAGGCTAAGCTCGAACTCACAGAGATCTGCCTGCCTCTGCCTAGGGTTAAAGGCATGCGCCACCACTGCCCCGTGGAAAAAGTAGATTTGTTTTAAGTCTATATTTATTTTTTCCTTTGTTTTTATTTACTCCTTGCCAGCTCGGCACCTCATAAGCCTGCATATCTGCAAAACTTACAGCAGAGTTTTGCAACTAGCAAAACAAGACCTTTTAAAAAATATTGTATGTGCATGGTGCCTCCACAAACATGTGGAGGTAAAAGGTCAGCCTGTTCTCTTTCCATCATGTGGGTTCTGGAGACTGAACTCAGTCATCAGGCTTGGCAGCAAGCGCCTTTACCAGTAGTACCATCTTGCTAGCCCCTTAAAAAAAATTTTAATTGAAGTCAAATTTCTTATTTTTAGGACACCCATATTTTAGAATCAAGTGGCTATTCTTTGACATCCACACTAGTATACTGAGTATGGCATTTTTTTTTTAAATCACTGTGTTCCTACAACACAGATGTCTTCAGTATATCAGGAAGCATATAAATCACTTGTATAAAACTAAAATATCACACATTTAAATTTCTTGTATTTTAAAAGTGGCCCCTTTCCCAAAAACGTTTTTCTTTTCTACACGTAACTAACTCTAAAAAATGAAAAACTGCTTTTTACAGTTTTCAGTTTAAGGGAATTTTATTTAATAGCATTAATTTTGTGGCAAAGACCTCAGGACGCTAGAATTGCATTAAAAACTGTCAAAGCCAAACTATCCTATTATCAGACTTCAATGTTAAGGAGAGTACAATTCTCTGAGAATTCTATTTAAGGACTAGGTCTTTTTTCTTTCTTTCTTTCTTTCTTTCTCTGTGTAACCCTACTGTCCTGGAACTCGCTCTGAAGACCAAGTTGACCTCGAACTCAGAGAGATGCCTGCCACCATCGCTGGGCAGGACTAGGTCTTAAAACACCAAGATATGTCAAATTAAGTTTGGGTCTTTGAAAATCCAGTTCTTGGGTATTCCAGGGCATGATTTAAAAACACACGTGCTTTTACTTTTGGTCAACCCTTGTACCAAAAGTGCACGCTCAAACACCAAGATAGGGTTTCTGTTGTTTACATACCTTCATTTCTGTAATGCTAAAATGTCGAAAACAGTGACTGTGTGGTAGCAGGCCTTTGATCCCAGCATTCGGGAGGCAGAAGCAACTCTGAGTTCGAGGTCAGCCTGGTCTAGACAACGAATTCTAGGACAGCCAAGGCTGTTACACAAACAGTAGAACATAGCCATAACCCATCCTTTAGCCTGTCACCTTTGTAATGCCTCGTTTTCCTTAATAACCCTAAGTAAGACAGAAAACACTGCACACCTAGAAATCCCTGGCCTCTGCTTTCCTTCCCGGGCCGACCAAGGAGAGGTAATTTGCAGCCCATCTTTAACATTTTTGAAATATGAAGAAAAAAATAATTAAAAACGAGTCTGCAATTTCACATCCTCCAAAGGCCCGCTCTCTACAAACACTTCTCTAGCAGGCCTAGCTACCGAGTCTAGCTCGGGGCCAGCAGGGCGAACACTGAGGAGAAGCTGCCTCCATGCCTCCAGCCCAGGGTACAAAGGCAACCCTTTCCGTCGACCCTTTCTCGTTCCTCCGCAGATGGAGGAGGACCAACAAACAGAACGCGCCTTCCGGGCGGGCACACGTCCCTCTCCTCAGCCCGCAGGCCCGCCCGAGGCCAGGCCACGAGGCCAGGCGGAGCTCTCGGGACACAAGGCCCGAGCGGGTCAAGGAGAGAGGAAAGGAAGCGGCTCCTCAAGGCAAGCATGAGGCTCGGCCTCCAGAACAAAGCGGCGGCCCGGGGAGACGCGGCGGCCCCGCGACGCACACTCCCAGGGCTCCCGGCGCTACGCAAAAGCCCCGCGGCGCGCCGGCCCGCCGCCCTTACGCCACTGGCTTGGCCCCAGAGCCTTCGCGAATATGGCTTTGCGCACTGCGGCGGGGCTGCGCCGCAACCTAGCTTGCCCGGTGGCTCCTCCCCGCCCTGCGCGGATTGGTGGCGGACGGAAGCCCGGCTGCTGATTGGACAGCGGAGGAGCCACTCGGGGAGGCTCCGGTGGGGCGGCCGCCCCGGAGTGATAAGTTGGGCTTCAGACACGCCTCGGCGCCAGCAGCGAGCCGGAGCTCTATGGAGGCGGCGGCGGGTACCAGGTGGCGGCTGCAGCGGCGACTCCTCTGAGCTGAGCGTTTCAGGCCATCCTCGACTCCTTCCTCCCCCTTCCCTCCCCCTTTTTTGTTTTCCGTTCCCCTTCCCCCTCCCTTCCCCGTCCCCGACGACCGGATCCAGAGGAGGCAGCTGCGGTGGCAGCTGCTGAGTTCTCGGTGAAGGTGAGTGGAGCCGCCGCCGCCGCCGAGCGGAGCCCTCTAAGATGGCCGCCGCCCCTGGCCGCTTCTTGTCGAGTGCTACAAAATGGCGGCCGCAGGCGGAGCCGGGCGGGGCTGCTCTCGTCTACCTCTGGGCCACCTAGAAATCCCTGGCCTCTGCTTCCCTTCCCGGGCCGGCCCGGGAGACGCGGTCTGCAGTCTGGGCTGAGTGGCGGGCGCGGCGCGGCGCGAGGACGGCGTGCGAGCGTGGCGGGCCTCGCGCCTCGGCGGGAGGGACGCGGCCCGCGGCGGGGCCCGGCCGTTGGCGCGGGACCAGCGAGGCGGACGAGTCCGGAGCCCGGCCTCCCGGTGGGGAGGAGGTGTGTGGGCCCTGTGGCTGGCCGGCCGCCGCGCTCGGGGAGGGCGAGGCGCCGCGCTGTCACCGGGGGGACTCGGAGCGGAGGCGGCGGGCGGGCGAGCGGGCGGGAGGCCGCCTTCCTGCGGGAGAACAAAGGGCGGCCCGGAGGGGGCGCCTCCCGCCCGGCCCAGGCCCTCGCCCGTCGGAAGCCCGGCCACACTGGCCTTGGGGGAGGAACCCGCTGCTCTTTTGTTCGCGCGGAGTGGGGCGGAGGTTTCCGCTGCCATGTTGTGGCCCCGCTCTTCCGGCGGCTTCCCACACGCGCCCTGTGGGAAGGGGTGAAAGGACGGCCGGAGGACAGAGCCGTCCCGGGGGCGGGGAGTGAGACGTTGGCCGGCCTGTCAGTGCCCGGGCCACGCACGGCAGTGCGGCAGATCTCGGGCCACCGCCGGTGTTTAAAGGGTTTCTGTTAGATTTTAAAGGCCCCGTAATATGGCTGCGTTCTAGGCAGTGTCCAGATGTTCTTCCCCCCCCTCCACACATACACACACACACACACACACACACACACACACACACACACACACACAAAGGCTGTTCCTGGCATCCTTGACCACTAAGGGGATCCACGTAGCTAAACAAGATTTTACTGTGTATTTGTGGTTTTGACTTTGTTCTATTTTAGTCTTCTAAGGGCTGCAGTGCAGTGAAAGTTAATCAGTTGCAGTGAGAGCCGAAATAGATTAGAGCGAGGGTTTATGCATGTGTTTGTTGGCAGTACCTAATTTTGGCGTTCTCTCTTGTTCCAGGCTTTTCGTTTGTACCATCCCCTCCCCTCCCCACCCCATCCATTAATATTATTCTTTTGAAGATTCTTCGTTGTCAAGCCGCCAAAGTGGAGAGTGCGATCGCAGAAGGGGGTGCTTCTCGTTTCAGGTATAGTTTTGGGTAGGGCGGTAGATACATAGGCCTTTTGAAAATGAAGCCGCTACTAACTAAATCGTACTTGTGTGCTGTGGCTCTAGAGTATAGGGTATACTGGGGGGCTGCAAGTGTGTCTGCCCCCTAAAGGGGGGGCATCAGACCGCCTGGGACTGGAGTTACAGACAGTTGGGAGCTGCCATGTGGGTGTTAGCCCTTGTCCTCGGGAAGAACAGCCAGCTCTCAAACCGCTGAGCCATCTCTAGCCTCTGGTTCATTTTCTTTTAGGCCAAAGTTCAGTCTTGGTTGTGGTGCAATTTCTAAAATATAAATAGGTTCCCTTTAGAGGGAGATGGAATTGGTAAAGTAAACATTTCTTTTGAATAGTGCTTCTTCGGGCGGAGGAGGAAGTCGGGGTGCACCTCAGCACTATCCCAAGACTGCTGGCAACAGGTATGGTAACTGGATTTTATTAAAGACTTCTCCATGCCTAACAGGATAACCCTTGGGAAATCACCTGGAATCCTAGTGTGAATTCATAATTTTGAACTGTTTTCATCCTCTTGGTTCATATTTGCTGACTCAAATGATTGTCCCTACTCTTTGATATTTGATGTGGTCTGTGTGGAACATACCTGTTAAGCATGTTGGTGTTAAGTCTCAAGGTTGGGTTCCTGGATCGGTAGGGTTTTTTGACATGACCTGGGAATATATTGCCAGAAATGGAAATTCTAAGGTACTAGAGCAGAAATTGGGAATGGGCCTCCCAGTCATTTTAAGCCTTCCATAAGATTCTGGTGCTGTTTAAGAAAGATTTCCAGGATTGCTTTGTTGTATGGGAAGGTTTGTTTCGTTTTATTTTTACTTAGCAAAGTGGTGGGACATTTGTTAAATGAGTGAATACTGTTTTAGGTTTTCATAATTGTAAGCTGCTTTGTTGATATTTTATTAAACTAGCGAGTTCCTGGGGAAAACCCCAGGGCAAAACGCTCAGAAATGGATTCCTGCACGAAGCACTAGACGAGATGACAACTCCGCAGCAAACAACTCCGCAAATGAAAAAGAACGACATGATGCAATCTTCAGGAAAGTAAGAGGGTAAGTGTCTGGCCGTTCTGAGGGAGTAGAGATTAGCTGTGCTGTTCTAGTATGTATGCTGCACAATTCACGGACATGATTCAACATTTTAGCGATTCTTTTGCCAACAATATTCTAAACTTTTGATGAGGAGTCCATTGCCCATAGGTATCTGGCTACAGGGGTTGTTTATTACCCATGAGCTTATGCTAACTTTTCCATGTTGGTCTGGTATGTAACATCAGTGATGTGAGTGATATAACCGTCTTAGCCTATGGTCAATTTCAGATAATGAGAACCTTGTGCTCTGAGTTTTGAGAAAGGTATCTTGTGAAACCACAGAAAAGCCCAGATAATATGATTCAGATGTCATAGTCTGTATCTGTGAGAAGTTTTATTTCACCATCTCTTTGATTAGATGAAAATGAACATTTCTGTAATACCATGCACAAGGTTTACATAAGCTCAAGCTTAGACAAGAAACTACTGGGAGACAGAGGGGAAATATTTTTTCCATGGAGTGATATATCACCCACACTCCAAGATAAGGCCCTATACTCAGGAACAAATGACAACACAAATTTATGTTTCTAGTGATTTTTTTTTTTTCTTAGAGAAAGAACATGAAATGGAGGAGCGGAGCTGGAGCTCAGGAAAGACTATAATAAAAATATAATATATGGCATTATCAAAGAATAAATAGGAAAGAAAGGGGAACATTTTTCCCTGTTTAGGGAGTTAGTAAAGGGAAAGTCAAAATTTAAACGCTATTTTTCAGCTTAGGAAATAATTGTTAACCCATACTTGGAATGTGTTTTTCCCCAGCATACTAAATAAGCTTACTCCTGAGAAGTTTGACAAGCTATGCCTTGAGCTCCTCAATGTGGGTGTAGAGTCTAAACTCATCCTTAAAGGGGTCATACTGCTGGTAAGTTTAAATGTTAGTGTGGGGGGGGGAATTTACAGACATAAGTTTCTTATATTTAATTATTGCATTAATCATGAGATAGGTCCTGGATATGTGTGTTTGAATAATGATAATAAAAACTGGACTATTTTGAATGACATTAGGATACAAGAAGTGAACCTTGAATCCTCATTTGCCTTGGTTTATCAAGTTGTCTGGAAAACAGCTGCTGAGTTCTTTCCTTTGTGAAAGTGGTTTGGGGGGGTTTATGATGAGTCATAGGATTCTGGCATCTTGTACATGACTATCAACCACAGAGTTGTATCTTCAACGGTGTCTTTGATTTATAGTTTTCTAGCTGGGGAGGTGTATGCAACATGAGATTTATTAGATTGTGCCACAGATATTAATTTTAAAAGGCTTTTTTTTTTTGAGGTGTTGTCTAAATGAATTGAGTGTAGCTTGTGAGGGTTAAGGCTGTTTTCAAAGAGGGCTCCTTCAGCCTCTTATTCATCATGGTTTGATTTTTAATGGCTTCTGTAGATTGTGGACAAAGCCCTAGAAGAGCCAAAGTATAGCTCGCTGTATGCTCAGCTATGTCTGCGATTGGCAGAAGATGCACCAAACTTTGATGGCCCAGCAGCAGAGGGTCAACCAGGACAGAAGCAAAGCACAGTGAGTGACAGTTTTTGTTTGCTTTGTTTTAAAATTAGTTTGGAAATTTTTTTTTAATTAGCAAAGTTTGTAATGCCTTTTGTTTGCAAATAGACATTCAGACGCCTCTTGATTTCCAAATTGCAAGATGAATTTGAAAACCGAACCAGAAATGTTGATGGTAAGCATTTAAATTTGCTATTAAATAGTACCGGGTGTTTTTATTACATTTATGCCTTCTGTGGCCTAAGTGTAACGGTCAGAACACTTGCAAGAATGGTTCTAAGTGTCCTTTATTCTGTTTGCCTCCCCTCCTCAGTCTATGATAAGCGTGAAAATCCCCTCCTCCCTGAGGAGGAGGAACAAAGAGCTATTGCTAAGATCAAGATGTTGGGGAACATCAAATTCATTGGAGAACTTGGCAAGCTTGATCTTATTCACGAATCTATCCTTCATAAGTGCATCAAAACAGTGAGTATGGAGTAGCTTAGGGTGAGGTAGTCAATAAGAATGTCCTTATTTGGGGAAAGTTAGTCAATTGCTGCATATCTGAAAAGGTGGCTGGCTACTGACATAGTTTGGTAACCAGAGAAACTCAGAATTTCAAAGTGCTTTTTAAAGTAGAGGTAGATTGGATTGCTTTGCCTGTGTTGAAATTCATAGAGGGATTTGGATTTCTTCAATACAGACAGGTAGGAAAGCATTGTCTTACATGCTCTAGGAATTGAGTCAGTCCAAACCTAAGGAAGGAAATACTACATAAACCAGATAACTAAAATTTTAAACATGTTCTTTTGGTAGCTTTTGGAAAAGAAAAAGAGAGTCCAACTCAAAGATATGGGAGAGGATTTGGAGTGCCTCTGTCAGATAATGAGGACAGTGGGACCTCGATTAGACCATGAACGAGCCAAGGTATGCTTTTACTGAGAACAGTTAAAGGTGGTGTGTTTTGTGAGTTGGGGTTTGCTCTAGTTAGTCTGCCTTTACCCTATGGCACGATAATTCAAAATGCCTTAGATAGTATAATGTACATTTATCTTAGTTCTAATTGTGTTTTTTGTTTTATTTTTTTATCAGTCCTTAATGGATCAGTACTTTGCCAGAATGTGTTCCTTAATGTTAAGTAAGGAATTGCCAGCAAGGATTCGTTTCCTACTGCAGGTAAGATTTTTTTTTTCAACAATGTCCAATAAACTTGAGTTTTTTTTTTCCTTTGGAATAGTAATTAAAATTTAAATTTTTTAATTAAAATTTAAATTTTTTAAAATTACAGGATACCGTAGAGTTGCGAGAACACCATTGGGTTCCTCGCAAGGCTTTTCTTGACAATGGACCAAAGACGATCAATCAAATCCGTCAAGATGCAGTAAAAGTAAGAAATTTTCAATTTCTTTTTCTTTTCCATAGTAGTGTAGTCCTTTCCTTAACTCTTAAAATCTAGAATTAGTTTCCTTCAGGCCATTTTTGGAGAGAAGTTCTCCAAATAAGCAATCCAGGGTCTATGGGTAGCAGTACTTACCTACTTTTCTTCTCAAAGGATCTAGGAGTGTTTATTCCTGCTCCTATGGCTCAAGGGAGGAATGACTTCTTCCTGGAGGGACCGTTCATGCCACCAAGGATGAAAATGGATAGGGACCCACTTGGGGGACTCGCTGATATGTTTGGACAAATGCCAGGTAATTTTAAACAAAGCAGTGTTTTGATTAAACTAAAGAAAGGTTAATGCTTTAGTGAAGTTCTAAGAATTGTCTGTATTTTAAGGTAGTGGAATTGGTACTGGTCCAGGAGTTATCCAGGATAGATTTTCACCCACGATGGGACGACATCGTTCAAATCAGCTCTTCAATGGCCATGGGGGACACATCATGCCTCCCACGCAATCGCAGTTTGGAGAGATGGGGGGCAAATTTATGAAAAGCCAGGTAAGACATTGAGAGTGTTTATAGTGTTTAGGGTTAACATTCAATACATTATGTCCTTTATTGTTTGTTTTTTAAATGATGCTGAGTTTTACCTTTAATGCTTTTTTTTTTCTTATCCAAATTACCACCTGACAATTTCAAATTGAGTAAAATGTGTATCCTTAACATTAGTAAAAATCACATCACTTTATTCAACAGATAGGTTAGATATTCTTCCTTGTTTTAAATCTTTTCTGGGCAAAGCAATGGCTTGGCTCATTCCCTTGGTACTCGATTACCATAATTTTTATCTAGACTTTCTCTCCCTTTCTGAAATAGGGGCTAAGCCAGCTCTACCATAACCAGAGTCAGGGACTCTTATCCCAGCTGCAAGGACAGTCGAAGGATATGCCACCTCGGTTTTCTAAGAAAGGACAGCTTAATGCAGATGAGGTACATTTGCCTACATTACTTCTATGCAGTAGATTGTCAGTGCAGGAATCTCTTGCCCGATGATTATAAAAAGACGCGAAAGAGGACTTGAAGCTGGATTCTTTTCCTTTTTCTCGCTTCTCTACTTTGTCTAACTCTTATCTCTATTTCCCTCCCCTCCCACTTTCCTCTGCTTCTTTTTCTCTCTTTGGATGTCCAGCGTCCTATGAGCGAAGATTATGAGATATGAGGGCAAGTTTCTAAGTAATTTTTACTAGTTAGCGTGAGAAATGGTTAAGATGTTGGTGGATTTCTCTGTAAGTAGAATAAAGAGTATCTATATTGCTGATATTGGGTGAATTATGTTACAAACTAAGGTTTGTAAACAGTATCTTTCTCTTCCTCCAGTATCTTATTCATTAAATCAGATTACTTTTCCCAGAAGTTAAATTTATCACGTGATATGAAGTAACTTTTTGTTTTAGAGAATTATGTCTCTGCCATAATTATTAGGTTTGTCTAGGATTCTATACATTTGACATTTGTTTATTAGCTCTGTTAACTTGGTTATGTGATTTGTTTTTGATTTTAGATTAGTTTGAGGCCTGCTCAGTCGTTCCTAATGAATAAAAACCAGGTGCCAAAGCTTCAGCCCCAGATAACTATGATTCCTCCCAGTGCACAGCCACCACGCACTCAAACACCACCTCTGGGACAGGTACGGGCCCCAAAGTATCTGCCCTCTGAAGATGAGTGAGAATTCTGTTTTCTTCCCTCTGTTTCAGGTGGTACTGTTCTTTTTGGTTTCTTACATTTATTTTGATTTAAATCTGTGTTGTGCTGCTTGCCTTTAGACACCACAACTTGGTCTCAAAACTAATCCACCACTTATCCAGGAAAAGCCTGCCAAGACTAGCAAAAAGCCACCACCATCAAAGGAAGAACTACTTAAACAGACTGTAAGTTTTAGATAGCCCCCCAAGTCGTCTCTTTTGCTTAAACATTTGAGGATAGGGAACACTGATGGTAATTGGATTGTGTTCTTCTCAGGAAGCCGTTGTGACTGAATATCTGAATAGTGGAAATGCAAATGAGGCCGTCAATGGCATGAGAGAAATGAGAGCCCCGAAACACTTTCTTCCTGAGATGTTAAGCAAAGTGATCATCCTGTCACTAGATAGAAGTGATGAAGATAAAGAAAAAGCGAGCTCTTTGATCAGTTTACTCAAACAGGAAGGAATAGCCACAAGTGACAACTTCATGCAGG